TCCCCACCCCAAACCTGCCTTTGTCATTGTCTTCAGAGCGCTCCTGCCTCTAGAGGGCGCCATTTGATACTGCACAGCCTCACCACCCTGCAGGTGGGCCTTGATCTTCTAATTGACAGTGAGCTTTAGTGCATACCTTACAATGCTGCTGACACTCACGTGACGCTGAGCATGGCGGGCCAGGAGTGGCTGGTAGACTGGAACACGGGTGTTTGGGGCTGGGGCTTTTAAATTCTGTCCTGGTCTATGATTGCTTGCAAAGCTCTACCCAAGTCTGAGCCCTGCAAGTGGGCAGGAGAGAGCAGCTGCTTAGCAACGCCCACTGGGGGTAAAGCAGTATATGAGGCAGGGAGCCAGCCAGGCATCATCCTTGGGAGGCGTGAAGGTGGGAGGCAGGGAGCTGGTGTGCCTGGGGCTGGAACCTGCCAGCCTCGCACTCTTTATGGGGAGGTGGGCCCGTCATGTGGGCAGAGCCGCCCTCCACCTCCCAGGGGTGGCAGAGGTGCCTCCTGGGGCTGAGGTGGGAGTGCCAGCCAGATGGAGGGACTATTTATTCCCCTCTCTGGTACCCACTCAGCATTTAGTTGTGTCACATGTTGCTTCATAAACACCTCCTGCTATGTGTTCTGTGTGACTCCTCGGGCCAGGGCATTGGTTTTGAAATTTTTTGTATCTTGACATGTATGCAGACAGTACTCAGTAAGGACTTGCTGGTTAAGTGCCTTAATGCCTCCTGCAAACCTGTCTCCTCACATGTTGGCAGGCGAGCAGTTGTGCCAAGCTCCTGGGAAGGGAGAGTGGTATATCTGGGGATAGGGGGAGGAGAGAGCTGCAGAAGAGAGAAGGCACATGAGTGCTTCTCCTAGAATGTGGAAGGTCTCTCTCACATTTATAATTCAGGTGAGACCAGCAGAGCTGCATGAATTCCAGCTCTCTTACTTGCCAGTGGGAACCCCATTCAGGCGTGGCTGGATCCAGGTGCTCAGACAGTGGAGCAGGGCTCTTCTCCATCTTTCAAGTCTGCTTCTCCCCTGTTGCCCTGTGTGGTACCAAGATGGTCGCCAGCAGCTCCCCACTCACACTGTCACCCTGCTATTCCCCTGAACCAATCCTCCAGTCACTGTGGGCCAGCGGGATCTAATGCTCAGATGGGCCAGGCCTGGGTCACTTGCTCCACCCACCCCTGGTCTCCGTTCCATGGGAACACTTGAACTGGGGTCTGGGAGGGGAGGGGAGGATTTACCAAAAGGAAACCAGGGTGCTCTCACCAGAAGACCGGGGAACGCATGCTGGACAGATGGAAACAACAGCACCACCACAAAGCCTCTTCAGCCTCCCGCTACTGAAACTTCCGTGTGCACATAATCACCTGGGGTCTGGTCAGAATGAGATTCTGTTCCCAGCTCTGAGATGGGGCCTGAAATTCAACATTTCTCAAATCCCCAGGGGAGGCCGGTGCTGGCACATGGAGGAGCAAGGCCCTGGTCCAAGCCCTCCCTCTCTAGGTAAAGGAACAGCAACCCAGGGCGGGGCCTGGCTGTGCCTCTGGATGGGCCCCGTGCCCAGTAGGCTTCCCGCATGCACCCCTCCCCTTCCTCCTCCTCTCTTGCACGGGTTCAGCATTTGGACAGCTACTGAGTGGTTCCTGGGGAGGAGGGAGGAGCACCCTCTCTTTGAAGGTGTCATGGAAAATCCATCTCTGTGATGAAATTCAAGGCTTTTACAGCTTCATCCTGGCCCTAGGCAGGAAAGCCCAGGCTTACCTATCCCGCGGAGGGCTCACCTCCAAGGGCCCCGCTGCTGACGCTAGGAAATGCTCTGAGAGTGAGTTTGCAAAGCCCGGGGGGCAGCGAGGCCACACTTGGAGCCTGAGCCCAAAACGGTGAGGCTGCAGGCAGAGTGGAGAGCAGGGTTCCAGAGACAGCCGGTGCATCGCCGAGTGACGGGACCTCCTGTGGGAGCAAAGTGTCCGTGGCCACCACTCCACGCCTCCCACCTCCCTGTTCTCGGGCAAGTGGCACCCGCCTGCCTTCTTCAGGCCCTGTACTCTCACTAAGACCTTTTCCTTTAATCAGTGGTTGGCAAACTGAGGCTTGTGAGCCACATGTGGCTCTTTGGCCCCTTGAGTGTGGCTCTTCCACAAAATACCGACTTCTGCACATGGGCCACGAAGTTTCAATCGCACTGTATGTGCGCCCGCACTGCTTTAATGATTGATAGCTCAGTCCCTGTTTCCTCTTCTGAGTGTTGGAGTCTCAGGGAATTCTTTAATTTCCCTCTGTTCTCCAAAGGCCACTGTAAAGCACAGGCTGGGCATGTTTATTCTCCATGCCCCTGCGTGGTCAATTGGGGTCCGAAAAGATTAAATGTAAGATTCTAGAAATAAACAGTTCCTAACTTTAAACCGTGCAGTGCTCTGAGTAGCAAGATGAAATCTCATGCTGTCTGGCTCCATCTTCTCCAGACGTGAATCATCCTTTTGTCCGGCACCTCGTGCTGTGACCGGCTGCCTCTTAGTCACGAGGCGTCTCGGTGATCGGATCCACTGTGGAGGTACCACAGTGCTTGTGTCCCAGTGACCCTCACTTTACTCCATAATTCCCGTAACTTTTATTACAGTCTATTGTCATAATTGTTCTATTTTATTACAAGTTATTGTTAAACCCTTACTGTTCCTAATTTATAAATGAAACTTCATCATAGGTGTGTGTGCACAGAATAACAAAGCACACAGCTGCTCAGTGCTCTCCGCAGTTTCAGGCATCGCCGGGGGTTGGAGCGTCTCCCCTGTGATAAGGAGGAACTACTGTATAGCGTGGCGGTTTGGCGCTGGGGTCGGTCAGCAAACACCAGCTCTTGAGCCAGATCTGGCCACAGCCCGTTTTTGCAAATAAAGTGTCTGAGCTGCAGCCATGCCCGTTTGTGAGGCGTCATCCGCGGCGGCTTTCGAGCTGCAATGGGAGAGTTGAGTGCTGTGACAGAGACAGTATGGCTGTCAGAGCCTAAGACCTTTACTTTCCAAAGGAAACATTGCTCAGCACCCGTCTCTGGAGCCGAACTGCTCAGGTTCAAATCTAGGCTCTGTGGCCCCCCAGCTGTGTGACCTCGGGCAGGTGGCTTATAGACCTGTGCCTGGTTTCCCCCTTGGGTTACCGTGAGGACTAAAGGAGCACGTAAACACACGCCATGCACTCAGCCTGGCGACGGTTTGCACTGGTGAAGTGCACTAGTGCGAGAGCTCTGATGGGGGAGGGCATTGGGCGTGGATGAGATGGGAGTCCTGTCCTAACCGCTGCCGGCCCTCAGGCCACCCAGGCTCCGGCCTCAGGCCCTGCTTCATCAGGCCGATAGCTGGTTCACTAAGCTTGTGGGGAGCTGAATCTTACCGCGTGAACGGTTCTAACGCCGCAGGTGAGGGAATTCGTGGTCTAAGTCACTCTCCCTCCACTCCGCGGACCTGTCCTTTCTCTCAGCACCAGCACCGCACCAGGGTGAGGCCCAGGGCTGAAGTTTAAGGGGACCCTCCCTTTTGGATTTGTGTGCGTGCAGGGTACCTGAGAGGGAGCACCTCCTTAGCTGTTGCTCCTTGGGCGCTTCGCTTACACCCGGCCCTGCCCATCTAGCCCCGCACTGCCTGCTCCATGCCAGCACTGGGGGGTGGGGGTGGGGGGTGAAAGCAGTGTCTTCGCTTGACTCGGGTCTGAACAAACCCATCAAGACTCTGCTTCATTCTCTCCGCTCTCTGTCTCTGCATTAGGGGCAGGATGTTCCAGCAGCTTGTGTCTTCCTCCCTTTAGCTTAGCACCGGGGAAGGGGGCACCTGCTCCCCCAGTTCTAGCAGCACTCCTAACTACTCACTGGCTGCCTTAGGTCCATTCCCACCCCTGAACCAGGGGCCAGGGCGTGTGGTGGGGCAGAATGGGCTGCCTGATCAGGCCCGAGTCCCATCTCTGCCCTTGGGCCTTGGGTGGACTAGGGGCAAGGGGAGTGGACCGGAAAGGAGAACGGGGAGATGCTGGACTGAAAAACCAGCAGTTCCGTGTGGCCCAGTTGTCAGGGGCGTGACTCTGTGTGCTGGAATCGGGGCAGGAAAGAGACTGGGCCGCTGTAGAGAGCTTTGGGTGCCAGGTGCGTGGTTTCGGTACAGGTTTGGCTGCTAAAGCAGAGAGGCCCAGGGTTGATGTTGCTCTGACAGGACAGGTCAGCGGTGCGGCCACCTGCCCCGAGCGGTCACGGAGGAACCCAGGCATGAGCTCTTTTGTTGCTCCACCGTCCTCCCGATGCTGCTTCCTCTCTCAGTATTCGGCTCTCGCCACCACCTCCACGTTTCAGCTGGCCAGGGGATGCTGTGCCCTCCCTTCGGGGCACCACTCAGATACACACACCCCTCCCCCAGCCCCTGCACTGGCCAGGATGTAAGTGTTCACACGGCTCCCGAGCTGCCGGGGTGGAGGGGACGTGGACACTGGGGGACAGCCGCAGTCTGCCACATCAGACCACCGGGTGGGCTTCCCAGAGAATGACCCAAGGAATGCTGGGAGGAAGAGAGGCCACCACATAGTTTCCGTGGCCCAGAATGTGTGAGAAACGTTGCTCGCTGTGATTATTTTAGGATTTCCACAAGTGTGTGTGGCGGGTGGGGGAGGGGCACATTGAAGGCCCTGAGAAGTCTTGAAGAAAAATGTCCAAGGTTTCCTAAGCATTTGATCACAAAGCTATTTGAGAAGTTTAACATCCAGAATTCTATGGATAAGTTATTTTAAGCTAAAAAGTTACTAAAAAATTCTGAACTGGTGAAGACTTTTGAGCAGAGGGGGCTTTAGCTGTCTGGGTGGCCTGGGGTTCAGCCATCTGGGTGGCCCAGGGGCGCTGCTGGGCCAGCGTGCAGGACCACAGGCAGCTGTGCGCAGACACCCTTCAGCCAGCCCCCATGTGCTTGCCCAGGGGCATCCAGGTGTCTGTTCTACCTTATCTGAAATGGTCTGAATTTTTGTGTGTAGAAATCTGTGCAGATCAGAACAGAAGCTGGTTTGCGGCTCCATATCGAACCTCCTCTGGACTATTCTGAAGATTTTGAGCCACATGGGGACACGACTGTCACTTCAAAGGATGCTTCCGGGGGTCACCCACAGGTAGGCGTGCCCGGGGCTCAGTGCTTCAGCAGCTGTCGGGACACTTTCTGTTACTATTCCTTCCTTCCCGGAAAAGAGCCTTTTTCTACCGAATGACCAACGACCTCGTTTCTCTACCCCAGCCATAGAAGTGGAATTTTACAGTGAGCAAAATTGTGGACTTTATTGCCTTTAACCCCTACCTCCCACCACACACACACACACACACACACACACACACACACACACACCCCACACCCCACAAGCACTCACTCACTTGCTTTTGCATCAACTGGCTGGTTTATAGCCAAGTTCGTCTGTTACAGCCCCAGCACAGCCCCAGTCCCAGCACATGTCACAGAATGCGTACATGCCCTTCGAGCAAGAGGCATGGTAGTTCCCTCTTCTCCTTTGACCAGTTGGTTCCTCCTGTTACAAGAACATGTATTCCTTCCTCTGCAAGCTCCCAAGCTCCCTGAAACACGGCAGCCTGTCCCTCACAAGCGATTAAGCCCATTAGCATTCCCGTGAGCGCGTGCTCGGAATCGGCAGTGCCCTGCTCCGCCAGCCCTGAATTTTCTCCGCTGAGTGCTTGATTGCGTCTTTCTTTCCTTTCCTCCCCCGTGAGGGGCACTCCATAGGCCTCACAGTCAGGAGTGACTCTCCTGCTAAGTCAGAGTAAAATGGCAGCGCCGGTTTTCGGCAAAGGCAGAAGCCATAGGAGCTGCAATCTGAGCAGGGAAAGAAAAAAGCGTGTGGCTGGATGACTCGGCCACCTCACCCTGTGCGCAGTGCAGCCCGAAATGGCGCAAAGGAAACGCACGTCTGCGTGTGCTTTTCACCTGACCTCGCTGCTGAGACACACCAGCCGCTCACCTTCCAGCACTTCCCCCGTGAACTTCAGTTTCTGGCGGCTCTGATTCACAGCCAGCGTGCTGCAGACCCGCCCCGTTGGCCGCCACCCCGTTGACTTGCCTGGTGCTTTCCAAGGTGTGAATTACTAGCTGACATTTAGGAATCAGGAAATTCCATGTCAAAGTCTGAAGCTGGGGCTTCTCTTGAAAAATCGGAAGATTTGGGAGCCACATTCTTACGCACCAGCAAGCTGAGGAGCACCAATCCCCTTTAGACGGGGCTGTGCTCCCATGTGCACAGCCCTCACCACAGGGCCTGGCACTGAGGGTAAAACAGTCAGCAAGTATGTCACCTGCCAGGAGCTGGCGTGATGGCGCCTATCAGGGGAAAGCTGGCAGGGCTGCCGCCTGATGTGCTGGGCGGGGCTTCGCCTTGGTGAGGTCACGTGAGCAGAGGCCTCGTGGAAGCCAGGAGTGAGCCCTTTGGAGAAGAGCGCTCCGGGCACAGAGAGCAGGTGTGGAGGCTCTGAGCCAGGGGCCAGGGTGGCAGGAGCTCAGTGACCGAGGGGTGGGGTGGGGGGGAGGTGAGGACTGAGGTAGCCAAGGCTCAGACCACATAGGACTTGGGAGCTGCGGTGAGTGAGGACGAGGGGTTCTACTCTGAGTCGGGGGTGGGGGAATTCTGTTTGCAGTTTAGCAACTCCTGTGAGAGGAGGGCCCTCTCTCTAGAGCAGCGGTTCTCAACCTGTGGGTCGCTACCCCTTTGGCGGTCGAACGACCCTTTCACAGGGGTCGCCTAAGACCATCCTGCATATCAGATATTTACATGACGATTCATAAAAGTAGCAACATTACAGTTATGAAGTAGCAACGAAAATAATTTTATGGTTGGGTCACAGCATGAAGAACTGTATTTAAAGGGCCAGAAGGTTGAGAACCACTGCTCTAGAGAGTTCCACCAAAGCTGCAGGTCTTAGTCATGTTGCAGTGGATGATAAGGCTCCATTTAAATGATGTTGGCTTCATTTAAGTAACAGGAATGGAGCTAAATGTATATATATTTCTGTTATTGAGATATTTTTTCCCTGATAATGCATAATCAATATAAAAATTCAGTGTTTAAAGAAAATAAAAGTTCGTTCATAATCTCACTGCCCAGAGATCATTACTGTGCAGCCTTGCAGACTAAAAACTGCAGATGTCATTCTATCCAAGAGGAGGCTGTTTCTGGAATGTGCCGGCTCTGGCCCATTCCCACTGAGTGAGTGCGGTTCCCCAAGATTAGTTCTCAGGCCCTGAGAGCAGGACAGGCGACAGGAAGGCATGCATCTTCTGGACTCCTTCTCTGAGTTTTTCCTTGTGCGGATCCTCGGGATCCTCGATCCTCGAGTGGGGTGAATTGGATATTTGTCCACAGTTGCAATTTAGTGTTTTAAAGTCGTTACTGATACATATAGACAACTTAAAGACCCGTTACAACCCATGTGCCACCAGCAGGTCTGCCACGGCCCCTGACGTAGACTGCGTGGCCCATGGCGGCTCACCCACCAGTTGGCAGTGGGTGGACTTAGGCAGCTGTTGACCAAGCGTCCCCAGTGAAGCAATGCATCGCCTTGTCCCCAGCAGGGCTCCGGGCGGTCCCTTCAGTCCGCATTAATTTCAATGGTGAGACTTGAAAACACGAGGGAGCATTTGTAGGGCAGTTCCATTGTTCGGGTACTTCTGTTTCCGATTACCATGTAATTAACCTTTGAGTGAGTGCCTTTTCCCCCTTTGCTTTTTATTGTTGTTTTTACATAAGTAGGATTATACCTTTCATACTATTTGATAATCCCGCCGTTTTTACTCACTGCGTGTGGCTATCTTTCTGTGCTGGTCCCCACGCAGCTCAGGGCACCGTTTTGGGAAGTTGGCGGCCCGAGTTTGAATCCTGGTCCCAATGGCTTGTTCCCCAGTGGTGCTGGTAGAGCAGGGGTGAGTTTGATCAGATCAGCTGAGGTAGTGAGAGCAGAGAACGGCTTCGTGAGGAGGGAGATGGAGGCGTGGAGGCCAATAGAGAGAAGGAAGGCCCCACATGTCTTTAGGGACACAAGTTGCTGTTACCATACCCAGTTCTCTCTGCTTGTCCCTAGGGTTCCAAACCTCCGACCGGCACCACACCCTGTGATGTTAACTTCTTCTCCCTCCAGAACGCTCATGGACATTCCAGCCTTCCAAGCAGTACGGACAAAGCAAGGATCCTCTTAACTATCCAGGATGTAATGGTAAGACGGCTTTCCTGCATCCTAACCATGAAGGGCCAGGGTCTTTTCCGTAGCCCAGCGGCTGGGCCAGAGGGTGGGCTCCACGAGAGATTCTTTTTTATGCTTGGGAAAACTACAGACAGCAACAGGATTTGGCTCTAACAAAAAAACTCTGGCCAACATACCAGAAGTTAAAATAATACACGAGAGATTTGGCTTAATGGTATTTTTATTTATTTATTTTTTTGCTTTTCATATAAAGTATAGATTTATTTTTAAAAATTTTCTTTTTCAATTACAGCTTATATTCAATATTATTTTGCATTAGTTTCAGATGTACTGCATATTGGTTAGACAATCATATACTCTTCAAAGCGTCCCCCCTGGTATTTCCAGCACCCACTTGGCACCATATATAGTTATTGCAACTTTATTGACTATATCCCTGTGACTATTTTGTAACTACCAATTTATACTTCTTAACTTTTCATCCAGTCTCTCAATCCCCCTTCTACAAATGATGTAGCCTCATTTGTTTATTTTTCTTTTGTTGTCCTTGCCTGAGGAGATATATCAGAAAAAATATTTCTAAGAGAAATAATGATGTTATTAAAAAAAAAAAAGTACCCTGGCCAGTGTGTGTTCAGTGGTTAGAGCATTGGCCTAAGGACCAAAGGGTCATGGGTTCCATTCCCTGTCAAGGGCACTCACCTGGGTTTCAGGTTCAATCCCCAGCCCCCGGCCTGGGCACGTGTGGGAGGCAGCCAATGTGTGTGTGTCTCTCACATCGATGTTTCTCTCTCTCTCTCTCTTTCTGTCTCTGCCCCCTCCCCACTTCCCTTCCTCCCTTTCACTCTCTCCAAAAAAAAAAAAAAAATCAATGGGAAAAATATCCTCAGGTGAGGATTAACCTAAGTAAATAAATGAATAAATAAATAAATAATCACAGTAAAGGCTCACGTTAAATGAGCACTTACTAAGTGCCGAGCACTGTGTTGGGTGTGTACCATCCATCACTGCATCACCCCGTGAGTTAAGTGCTAGGTATTTTCATTCTGTTTTATAGCTGAGGGAACTGAGGAGTAGAGGAATGATGTTGCTCGCCCAGGCCTCAGCGAAGCCCGGTCTGGAAACCCAGAGCCCAGGACTCCTGCTCCTTGGGATTACAAGCTGGGAAAGGCATTGACCTGGTTTTGCTTCTGAAAATGCCCAGCTCTCCACAGGGGCACGATCTGTGGTAAATAGTATTGACATTCTGCCTGGGAGCAAGGTGTTCAGAGGGGGCCATCCATCAGTTATGCTTAACTGTGTTAAACAACGATGGAGAAGACCTCTCCTCTGCCAAGTCTCTCCCCTGTGACCTCATTGCTGGGAATGTTGATGAAAATGTTTTTCAAAAATGAAATTCAATGAGGAAACAACAGATAAGCCCAGATTGAGGGACAATCCACAGAAAACTGGCCTGGAGTCTTCCAATATATCAGTTGCAGGAGAGACAGGAAGGCTGTTCTGGACGAAAGGAGGGTACAGAGACGTCGCAGTTACGCTATGTGGGGTCCTGGGAGGAGAATTGCTATAAATTTAAGGACAGTTTTGGGAAATTCAGAGAAATTGAAAATTAAGTGCATTATGTTGTAAATAATATAGTGATGTCCAGTCTCCCATATTCGGTAATTCTATTGTGGTTATATAGAGAAGGCTCTTGTTCTCAGAAGACACATGCCGGAGCGCGCAGGCGTGAGCGGCCATGCTGTCTACACTAGCGCATAAGTGGGCCCGAGTAAAGAACAGGTTTACCTATTGAGGAGGAGGAAAGGGAGAAGGGAGAAGGGAGAAATGGGGCCAGATGCTGACATTTGGTGACTGTAGGTGAAGGGGTTTGGGTATTATACTATTCTGATCAATTGCCTATTTTAAATTTTTTCAAAATAAAAACTTTTTTTAAAGCTTCAGTAGAGCTAAGCATCAGCAAAGGAAGACACAGAGGAAAGTCAGAAAGGAGAGCTCGTTTAGAAAAGCTGAGTCCGGTGGTATGCATGCCGGTTTCCTGATTGTGCTATTGTGCTGTGGCCACGCGGGTGTTACCACGGGGGAAACTGGCTGCAGCGTACATGAGATCTGCGTGTATTGTTCTTACAAATGGTGCGTGAAATACACAGCCAGCTCAAAATAGAAAGTACTAAAGAAAAAATAAATGAAACAAGCCCAGATGCCCAGGTCCTACCACCAGAGGTCCTGGTTCTCAGCCTGGCTGTGGCTCAGGCATTGTACCTTGCGTGAAGCACCCCACGTGACGATAATTTGTAGCAATATTTGCAGCAGTTCAAGGAGAAGATAGGGCTGTGGATCTCAAGGGTTCAGATGCACAGGAATCACGAAGGGCATTGGTTTAAAAGGCATATTTTAGGTCTAATGTTTAAGCTACCAGAATTTGTACTTTTAACCAAAGAACTCCCGGTGATTCTGAACCAGAGGCCTGATGAGTCGAGTCCAGTTCAAATGGAAGCAGTTTTGGAGATAATTTGGATGTTGTGGCTTGGATTTGGGACTAGAAAAGAGATTTAAAAATTCGAAGTTAAAATCTCACCTACACTATACAATCAAGGTAAAAATAAAGTTAAAAAAAACCACCAAAATAAAACAACAAAAATCCACTGAGGTTTACAAAAGCCAGGAGGGGATGGGAGAGGTTCTGCCCTTGTCTTTAGATTCATATCCTGCACTCTGGAATCTTGGGTGGGAGATGGCACTTAAAAGAATAGAAAATGAAAGATACAAAAACATAATAGCTCTAGACAGCATCTCCTGTGGTACAGATCAATTTCTATCCAGATATTGACTATTAGTGTCAAGAAAAGACTAAAGTATATGCAACATACTTTTTTAAGAAAGCAAGGAAGTCTTAATATCTTTTAAAAATATTTTCATGGAAAATTATTTTATTTAGGTTTTGACTATTTAAAGATGTTAATTTTAGATAAATAGAAAATTAATTTTGTGTTATTATATGAAGACATTATTAAACCAAGGAAATGAATATGAACCCTTCATTTTTTTTTTTTCACTTTGGTCACATTAAAAATATATTTCAACTTGAGAAAAAAAATAATCTGGAGAAAACGGGCCTGTAGGAGAGGATTCTTACAAGTTATGACTTGAAAAAATTATGCTCAAATTCAAGATAAGGATAGAAACATAGTGATGAGTGGAAGAGTGTGTGACCAAATGGGGAGGGCCCAGACCTGTGCCTGCAAGGACCAGGCTTCAACTCACAATGTGTATCGTTGACTGGCCTGGTGTTGTGCTGTGGTCATGATTATTGCTGTTTTATTTTGAATCAAAAACTTACTCTGAGCATGCTCCCTCCTGTTTGCTCTGTTCCTTACCACTCTCTGTTGGTGACTCTGAGACTCACATTGCTGGTTTACGTCTTCTGGAGATGTTGGAGCTTGTCACTCCTGTTTTAGGGAGTAAAAAGAACAGGTGCCTAAGTCTCGCAAGCCTGGAACTTTTCTGTAAACTCTGTGAGTCACTCTCAGAGGCCCCATTGCCTCCCCTTTGACAAAAAGGGGCAAATTAGGTATCTCCTGTGCTTGTCAGCTCTGAAATTGTAAATCCTAGGTTGAGTTTATAGGCAACCCTATTTCTGATTACAAAATCCATAGGAGTAGAATATTCAGTCCCCACTCATCCAAGGACTCCTGTAGCTCATTAATAAGTTACGTATGTGGGGTTTGAATAGCCTCTCTCTACCCTAGATCTAAGCTTCATATTGGCAGAGATGTGTGCTCTCTCTTTGCCTGCTCTGTCTCTGGTCCTTGGAAAAGTGCTTGGCCTAGAGTTAGTGTGCAAATAAATCTTTGTTAAGCAAGCGGATTGAATAATTGAGTGAATCAATGAGTGAGGTGTGGTGTAGATGTTGATTCGGCACCCTGGGCAGCCCACACAAGCTGAGTTCAGTCATCACATCGCTGAGTTATAATTACAGTGACAGTATTTTCCAAACTGTGAATCAGGAAACATAACCTGACAAATAATTTTTTTGCTGCTTGGGGTAGAAGAATCAGTTTGAGAAATGGAGTTTGGGTCCTGGAATATTGGGATCACTGGCACACGGTGCCAATTAAGATGGATATTTTCAGCGACATGAGCAAGGCCGGAGGGATGACAAGCACAGCCCTGGCATCGAGTGCCGGGGACGCCGGGAAGAGTCTTGACACAGCTCGGCTGACTCATCATGGGGAGACGGGCACCGTGGTACGAGGCTTTCTGGTTTTAAGAGAAGCCAAGTATCTGGGTTTCTTTGTGTTCAATTTTTCCGCCTTATTTTTTTTAATGTTGGTAAAAAATTCACAATTTTCTGTGGACCAAAGATAGAAAATGGCCAGATTTGGCTTTCAGACCATCAGCTTGAAACTTCTGGTTCAATGGAAGCCTTGCTGGTTCCCGACAAGAGGAGGTCTTTCTCCTTCCCAGTGGCACGTTATTAGCCCCTCTGTACCCAGAGCCATCAAGGGCGTGGTGCCCTGAATGCACCCAGAGATGCCCAGTTGGACAGCTCAGATTGAAGGACAGCCTGGCTGATGGCATTAGGAGTGCTCTGGGCAGGAGAGGCAGACAGCACAAGGAATAATTCAGTGATGTGCATGAATGATTCATGTGGAACGATGCTGAACAAGCACTAAATGCCCATGAAAGGCAGGTCCGGAGGGAGAGATGTGATCCTTTCACCCAATAGAGCGCTTCTGTAAGTGAAGCTCTCGGGTGGTATCTGACTTACTACAGCATCTTTTTTAATCCTAATAAAAATAAAGAATGACCTGTGAATCAATATTGGGATAAATATTGTCTTTTATTTCTTACATGTATTGGCTATATGGAATACCTTAGGTACTTTTACATTATTTTTCATAATTTTGTATAACATCTAATACATGAGTGCTTTCGCATTAGGAAAGAGTCAAACAATTCAGAAATAAACTGAATAGAATATGAAAAGCTCTCTCCATCTATCCAGTCAA